CCAATATAGCGATAATCGTCATATCGTGATAAAATCGTTATCGTGATATTATCGTTCTTGTGAGCTTTGTATCGTGTATCGTATCGTATTGTGAGGTACCCTTAGGTTTCCACCCCTAATTCTGGCAATGGTCAAATCCAGGTTAAGCAGTTCTGTTAAGCTGTAATGTCTGTGTCGTATTGTGTTATTATGTATTTTATTGTATTGTGTGTTGTAATTTTCTATGTATTTTCCTGCCCAGGGACTACGGATGAAAACTAGCTTGGTAGCTATAATCCGGCATATTGAAATTTGTTTTATACTGATGTTCATTAATGTGCATTGTCCCCATCGAATAAATAAAATCAATAAATCTCCACTTGTTTTTACGCATTGTGATTATCTATTAATTGAATGCTTTGCGTGATTTCTATGTATTTTCATGTTTCGTTCAGCACCTCGAGTTGCCTTGTGTATGATCAGTGCGATACAAATAAACTTGCCGTGCCTCGCCTGCCCACTCATAACACACTCAAGTGTTATGAGTGTAAAACATACAAAATGAAAGCAAAAAAGGAGGAGAGGCCATGGATAACAAAAGGGATAAGGAACGCATGTAAAAAAAAAAAATGCTCTGTACAAAACATTTCTTAGGAAAAGAACCTTAGAATCTGAAACAAAATATAAAAGGTATAAAAACAAATTAACCAATATAATGCGAATATCTAAGAAAGAATACTACACAAACCAGCTTGAGAAAAATAAAAATAGTATGAGAGGCCTATGGAGTACATTAAATAGTGTTATAAGAAGGAACACCGGGAAAAACCCTGTTCCAGATTATATCACACATAATGGAAAAAAAGAAACCAAACTGGGCAACATTGTAAATATGTTTAATGACTATTTTGTTAACATTGGGCCCGAAATGGCAAATCAAATTAATAATTTGGACAGTGCAAATGTTCTAGAGAATGTATTGGAAAGCAGAGATTCATTGTGTGTGACTCCTACAGATACAAAATAAATTATAGATTTAGTTAACCAATGTAAGAGAAAAAAATCTAGGGACTATAATGACATTGATATGACTCTTATCAAAAGGGTCATACATGAAATTGTAGTGCCCATAACTCATATCTGTAACCTGTCTCTCCAGACTGGGAAATTCCCAAGTCAAATGAAAATTGCCAAAGTTGTGCCTATATTTAAAAATGGTGATAGTCATGAGGTGCTAAATTACAGACCTGTATCGATTCTACCTCAGTTCTCTAAGATCCTTGAAAAACTTTTCTCTAATCGTCTTGATAGGTTTATAGAACAATATAATTTACTCAATGAAAGTCAGTATGGCTTTAGAAAAAATAGAGGAACTGCCCTAGCACTAACAGAAGTATTTGAGGATATAACCAACAGTATTGACCAAAAGCTATACTCTGTAGGAATATTTATAGACCTTAAAAAAGCGTTTGACACAATGAACCATCAAATACTACTGCAAAAAATGGAAAAATATGGTATTCGTGGAGTTGCACTGAACTGGGTCAAATCATACCTCTCAGACCGGAAACAGTATGTTCAACTGGAGGAATGCATGTCTGAAATGCAGAATATTACTTGCGGGGTGCCACAAGGATCGATTTTGGGTCCTATGTTGTTTTTATTATATATAAATGATCTCTGTTATACCTCTTCTAAACTGAAATTCATACTATTTGCTGACGATACAACGATTCTGTGTTCAGGAAAGGATTTACAGCTTCTTATGACGGAAATCTCGACAGAAATAAACAAGTTAAAACAATGGTTCGATAATAACAAACTGTCAATGAATATTAGGAAAACAAAAATGATGATTTTTGGGAAACGAATCAAAGACACTGAAGTAAAACTTAAAATCAACAATATGGAAATAGAGAGAGTTCACGAATGTAAATTTCTGGGTGTGATTTTAAGTCATAATGTAAGCTGGAAACCCCATATAACAAGCATACAATCAAAAATGGCAAAGAGTATATCGGTAATGTACAGAGCTAGACATCTGCTAAAATATAGAGCCTTACATATTATATATAGTTCTTTAATTCTCCCATATATCAGCTACTGTGCGGAGGTGTGGGGTAACACTTATAAAACTCATTTAGATCCACTTTTAAAACTTCAGAAAAAAGCCATAAGAATCGTTCATAACGTTGGTTTTAGGGACCATACAAATGAGTTGTTCTTAGCATCTCGTATAATGAAAATTGAAGACTTAATTAAATTTAAAACTCTTGTTGTATTATACAAAGCAAGTCGTGACCTTCTCCCTAGGAACACTCAGAAATTGTTCAGCAGTAGAGAAGGAACTTACAATTTAAGAGGAGAATTTGTGATGAGGAAACATTGTGTTCACACCACCCTCAAAAGTATGTGTATCTCCCAAGCAGGAATAACATTGTGGAATGATCTAAATAAAGACACAAAACAGAGCAAAACACTAGTACACTTTAAAAAAACATGTAAAGACATTATCTTTAAAAATTATGCTAGTGAAGTATCATAATTACTATTATTTTCACAGACAGGCACACACTCGCGCTTTTTTTTGTTGTTGTTATGGGGTTTGCCCGTATATGAGGATTGAGGTATTGTAGAGAGGGATGGAAAAAAAGAATAAAAAAAAAAAAAAACAAAAACAAAAAAATGTCATTAAAACCGAACGTTTACACATGCATAAGTTCAATGCATTGAGTTTGTAAAAAATGTGTCGATTTCAGTCAGATGAAGTGATGTTGCAATATAATTGCTATACGTATTAAATACCATATGGTGTATTTATTTTTGTAAAACTGTAAATGATAAATCCTTTATTTATTTTGTACGACTGTAAATGAAAAATCCTTTGTGATTTTTGTGTTACTTGAATGAGAGATAAGGGGTAGGTTTATTATAAGTTCTTTGAACTTCTTCCTACTCCTTTTGAGCACAATAGTCTTGTTTTGTTTTCTTCTGTAAAATGTTTTAAATAAGTTTCTGCTCAAATAAATAAATGAAAGAAAAGAAAGAAAAGTATTCAGTGTGTAAATGCTCATTTTCACATGGAGGATTGCGTCCGCCCTGTTCTGGCAGTCATGTGGTCTTTAGGGAGAATTTTAGCAACACAGCTGGCTCTGTGGTGAAAACAGAGCAACCGGAACATAAAACCCTGCGGTGAATGAAGTAATACTACAGCAACAATAAATGACTCATGAATCATCATCATCATTTCACAAATTAAAAACTTTGATTTGGCAGAATAGTCACTATATCACTGGCATTTACTCTTTCACTGATCAACTAATCTATGATGTGCCACTATTTAAATTAAGTTGTTAAAAGAAAAAGCATTGTCCATCTATTTACAGTCTATGCTTTATATGTGTGTTCAGTATAAATATTTGTGTAACTGAAATGATGCGCCTACATAGTGGCAGGATGAGTAGATATTAAAAAAACAAAACATTAAAAAAGACAAACTGCTGTTCCATACGTTGCAAAAAGTGATGAAAAAGTAAAAGATTGCTCAAACTTAGCAAAATATATCTTTATCTCTATATTTTGACAGGCTTAAAACAAGACTTGCCAATGGGACAAAGCAAAATTATCTTATTTTAAAAAGATACAAGAAATGTCTCCCTTGGAATTAGACTAAATGGCTTTGTCCCATTGTCAAATCTGGAACTTACTCAAATGAAGAAAAAAAAACACTTGATTCAAGCACTACTACCTATGATTTTTTACAGTGTAGCAACAGTTCAATAAAGAACATTTTCATGAGCATTCCACTAGAAGCCTTGTGCTGCGTAGTTTGACGATGGCCCTAAATGGCCTGCACAGGAAGTGGTGTTGTGTAGAACAGAACAAACTTTGATGAATGTTGTTGGAATACAGTGTTGAGAATTTTATGGAACAGATGTCCTTTAAAGTGAGCACAGCTGCAGAGAAACAGAGCCAAGTCCAGCAGTGTGGGAAACTGTCTGCTGTCCTCTTAACACTGCCAAGACCAGAGAGGGACAGCCTCCAAGTCCTCGTCATGAGATAAGATGCTTCCGTCTGCTACAGGGATGGACCGAAGGGTTTTAGTCAAGGCCAAGGCAATAATTGGCCGTCAAAGAAGAAGCCGATAACGATAAAAATGTGTGGCGCAACCTGCTTGTGAAAGCCAGGTCCTGTCAGACCTCTGAAGCAAGGCAAGTGAATTTGTATAGCACAGTTCAACTCAAGGGAACTGAAAGGCTCCCTCCACATGTTTAGTCCCAACTCTGGGCACCACCAGGAGCCCAGTCCCTGTGCTCCTCAGAGAGGAATTGTTACAGATGTACTTTGGTGCAAGGCCATGGAGAAACTTGTAACAAGCAGAGCTGTTTTAAAGTCTATTCTCTGAGCCACAGGAAGCCAGTGCAGAGACCTGAGGACTGGACTAATGTGATCGTACTTCCTGGTTCAAGTTAGGACTCGTTCCGCAGCCTTTTGAATGTACTGCAGTTGTTTTACAGCTCATTTGGAGAGACCCTCTGATCCCCTGGTCCCTCTCCCTCTGGTCTCCCCCTGGTCCCTCTCCCTCTGGTCAGTTTTATTTGTACAGCACATTTACAACACTTCAGTACATGTAGACTCAGACTTGCCTTGCCGGCTGGAGAACCACATCAGACCAGTAACATAATCTTACAATTGATTTCGACTCGTAAAATTTATTTCATGTTACCAACAGTACATCAAGTACAGATGTATACATACAACTATATATCGCTTGCACTAGAATATACAGTATTTGGTACTTGCTATTTATAATGCTAAATACACTTCCCTCTATATTATGGCAAAGCTACAGATTTTATACTTCTGTATCATGCTAATGCTAGAGATTGTATTTCGTTTTAGTATTGTTCATTTATTCCTCATTCCTACTGTTCTCTAACTGACATTTTCCCTCTGTGGGACAAGTAAAGCATCTATTCATCTCAAAGTAAACCAGTCATGAGTTAAAACCCCCCATTTACCTGCAGCACTGGGCTGTGGTCGAAGTTGTAGGCACTGGGGCGGCCCTCGAGCGTGGAGAAGGCCACGTTGCCGCCGGTCAGAGGAGAGATGTCGCTGAACTCGTCGGTGCACAGGGCCAGCTGCTCATCCTGCCCCGTGCGGATGAAGCCGCGGTTCTGCTTCTGGTAGGTTTTCTCGCAGGAGCCGCTGTAGAACTGGTAGGGCACCCACGGGGCCGTCTCGCTGCTGCGTTTGTAGATGGCGAAGCTCTCCGGGCGAGACGTGTGGAACTTCAGGCGCACGTATGTGATGTCGAACGCCTTACCTGGAGGAAGAAGAGCGCACAACAGAACGTAAGGACTTTGGATTAATCTCTTGTGCCATTGACATCAAGACTTCCAGTGTTATGGCCAATTTAGTCGTTTACCATCATCATATTATAAGTTTAATGACTCTATCTTGTTTTGTTCTGCACTTTGAGTTGCCTTGATTGAGAATTCTGCTATACAAATATACTTGCCTTGCTTATTTGATACTATTATATTGCTGTAATTCATTCTTTTTGAGGTATGGGAGGGTTTGTTATAGGTGCACTGCCTTAAATATCCAGTTGGGGGCGCACCTCAGGGATTAGAGTTAACACAGGCCAACAGTTTTGCATTACTGCTTTTCTGTATTATACAACAAGAATTTACGTATAACATTTTGTTTTGGGTGATTCGTGGTTCTGTTAAGCGAAATCTTAAGGGACAATATTTGTGGAACCTGTGGAACAATTTTTCATTAAATGAGCCTAACCATGATTGTAAGTTTGGACATTTATTATCGCACACCTGCGAATTAGCCAAGGCCCATGCTGACAAAGAGACTACAGTGGTTTCTTTTGGTCACTTCCCACAGAACTACTAGAACTCCCAGACCCGTTTTTTGACTGCTCCCATTAAAAAAACAATAGAAATCTGACAAATTCATCAGATTTATTAAAGAAAGCCATTTACAAGCCGTTTACCATTACCGACTGGTGCTAAAACTGGTAAATATAGCTTGAATTTACAGCTAAATGCTAACTGCTAACGGTAAACGGTGTGTTTCTATGGTTCTTCTCAAGGTGTTACAGTAAAGGACAACTCGCATTTAAAAAATCAAAGATAACTTAATCAGAAATAATGACATAGGAATAAATTGCATATAGAGACAGAACAAGTCCCTGAGTGGGGCACACATCAGACAAGTACTTTAAGAACACAAGTTATTTAAGATAATAGAAAACAGACAGATAATAAACTCAAGCTATAATTGCACTTGTGTCCAATATAAGTTTATACACAGCAGACTTCAATATTCACATTGACGGATGGTTAATATTGTACTTTAGCAGCAGAGAATGTGACCAGATAGCAGCGGCTGAAGTGAGTTATCAGAACAGACTCAGCAGTAGGTTGCAGGTTGCATTTCATTACCATTGTTAGCTACTTTCAGAGTTATGCATTTATTTGTTTCGTTTGTGTGGATGGATGCGTTTCCGCTGCTACTCGGCGCCTACATTTCTCCTACTGGGGATCAATAAAGTATTGCTATCATTTCTCGTTGTACAGTCTGACAGCAGCAAGAAGGAAAGCCGTAGAGGAAATTACAGTAGTTCCATTTGTAGTAATTATGAAACTTTCCCAGTCCAAACCAGTCCAATCCTACAGGAGAAGCTGAAGCCACAGTCAGCAGTTTATACACCCAGAGTTACTTTTTTTTTTAAACCTTTGTAAAAATGATGCCATAGGTCAATATCATTCAGAATGTCCCCTTAATTTGAAGGTGAAGGCCTGATTTTTGAGTCCATCTAGGGTATCTTGCAACGTTGCAGCTGTGGTTCCTCTGACCTTGACAGTGAAGAGAGACTAAACACAGACAAGCTCATTATGAGGCCACAGGCGCCATTTTAGAAATGCAGCACACCACGGTTACACCACCTCGTAGACCATACTGTATGAATAAACTCAGTCTTAGTGTATTGTTCGATTAAAAAAAAAACATGTCAACTCTAAACTTTTGAAATAAAAAGGGAAGAATACACAGTCGACGTCTGTTCATCTGCAACTGACCTTTACTAATAATGTGCTGTATTGTAGTGACTAAAAATGTATGTGACATCAGAAAGTATACAGACCCAGACCTCTCTTGTCTCAGTATACATGCAGACACACACCTCTCTTGTCTCAGTATACATACAGACACACACCTCTCTTGTCTCAGTATACATGCAGACTCAGACCTCTCTTGTCTCAGTATACATGCAGACACACACCTCTCTTGTCTCAGTATACATGCAGACACAGACCTCTCTTGTCTCAGTATACATGCAGACTCACACCTCTCTTGTCTCAGTATACATGCAGACACAGACCTCACTTGTCTCAGTATACATGCAGACTCAGACCTCTCTTGTCTCAGTATACATGCAGACACACACCTCTCTTGTCTCAGTATACATGCAGACACACACCTCTCTTGTCTCAGTATACATGCAGACTCAGACCTCTCTTGTCCCAGTATACATGCAGACACAGACCTCTCCTGTCTCAGTATACATGCAGACTCAGACCTCTCTTGTCTCAGTATACATGCAGACACAGACCTCTCTTGTCTCAGTATACATGCAGACTCAGACCTCACTTGTCTCAGTATACACGCAGACTCAGACCTCTCTTGCCTTAGTATACATACAGACTCAGACCTCACTTGTCTCAGTATACATGCAGACTCAGACCTCTCTTGTCTCAGTATACATGTAGACACAGACCTCTCTTTATTGGCTGGAAAACCCTATCTGACCAGTAAATGATATTAAAATTGATTGAAAACCCCCTGTTTGCCATTGTGCCAACACCTCCTCATTTTGCAGGAGGCTGAGTAAACAGCACTGGGGCATCAGCCGCACGTGACATCACAGTCGAAGGGGTCGTCACACAGGACGTCCAAAGCAAACACTGAGCTCATATAGAAAGGTTAGGTGTGGTGCGAGAGAGGCTCACAACCCACACAAGAACCACTGAGGGATTTTATCTTTGCTCTTTTGATTGTGCTGTGATTATCTATGATTGTAATGCCTTCTGTGATTGTATCTTGTTTTGTTCAGCATTTTGAGTTGCTGTGTGTATGAACTGTGCTATTCAGATAACCTTGTCTAACCGTGAACAAGGCTTATACAGTATGTGGGTTGGAGCACATTGACTAGATTAAAACTGTTTTAAACTAAAATATGTGATGACAAACTGATTCAGTCACTTAAACAAAACACTACTATTTCTACCACACACACAATTCTTTTTACTGTAAAAGTACGACACTGCATTGAATCAGGAGCTAGCAAACACACTGGTGCTGTATGTACTGTTTTTGTGTGGAACCGTGTCCTCCCACAACTGCTCTCACAGTCCTTTGAGCTAAAGGGGCAGTCACCTGTAGAACTCCACAGACATGGAGCATAAAAACTAATTCTAGTGAGTCCTCCATGGGTTGATCCTGAAGAAGGTTATTGCCAAAGTAACGCTTCCCTGAAAACAAGCAGAGGTTACAGAGGTTGGGCTATGGCAACTAACTACAATATCAGAATCAGAATCAGAATCAGAATCAGAATCATTTTTATTGCCAACGTAAGTAACGGGAGGTCACAGACTTGGAAATTGCTTTGGCTCAGTGCAACAGTCAAAAAGAGATAATAAAAATAAGAATAAAAAAAAAAAAAAAAAAAAAAAAAAAATATCATTAATCATTACACCCCAACTGCATTACTTTTAAGTTACTCTCACCAAATATATATATATACCACGGTACATACTCTACATACTTAATGTAGCTTATGACTTTTAGAATTATCTATCTATTTGTTTTGTTTGTATGGATGGATGCATGTTTTTTCTGCTGCTACTGGACACCTGAATTTCTCCTACGTGGGGATCAGTAAGTATCTATTTGTTGTGTGAGGTTGATGGAGCTTTTCGTTTGGCCCATAAAGTGCACTTCACAGTTATGTTCTACATCTTTGTCTCCAACAAACTCAAAATAATGAGAGAAAAATGTACAAGTGTCCGACGTAGAGGCTGCTTCTGCTTCAGCCTCAGCCGTCTTCTACCAGAGAGGAACAACAACACTAGGCGGTTACTATTGGAGCAGATGTGTTTTCTGCTGATCTTGCGGTGGCAAAGTATAAAAACAAAACACTATTTAATTTTGGGTTAAAATCCAATGTAACGTCACTGACCTTTGTACCAAGTCAATTATTTCCGAGATTTTTTCGGAATGCCTTACATCACTGCGTTACAGCAAAAAGCAATACATTACAGTGATTACATTACTTTTGTGACGCATTACTCTCAACACTGGTTATAGATGAATTATGACAAACACATTTTTAAAGAATGCGCTTATATACATTTGATACTCTACATTCATACAATAGGTCTGAGTGAATGGATGGAGTTGGCTGGGGCTTTGATGCTCCAGTGTGTTCAGCGTCTCGCTTCCGTCATCACCGTGTTTGGAGAGAATGGAACAATATCTGAAATCTGAACATTGTAAAGCGCTTTGGGTGACCTTGGTCTGTAAAAATGCGTTATACAAATAAACCTTACTTACTTAGTGGGCAGACAAATCCATCTAAAGCCAAGTTTGATCAGGAGCTATCCTTCACCTGTAGTTTCTTGCCACTCAAACTTTGAATCAATATATTTTATCTAGGATTCATATGTTCTTAAAGGAATGACAGTCCAGTCCAGTTTATTCATAAAGCGCTAATACTGAGGGATTTTATATTTTTATCTTTTTTTTAATGTACTGTGATTATTTATTGCCTTGCCTAATAAAACAACAAGTTTAACCGAAGAGCTGTACATAAAAAGACGTACAAAAATATACTAATAGAAAATACGAAGCGGCGGCAAATAACAAAATGTTTACAGCACAAAAATCAATTCAAAATCAGGGGAAAGACTTGAGTGAGTCTCCTTTGTGCTGCTTTAACAGAGAATCAGAGCTGCACCGAGTGAGGGGACAGAGGAGAATGTGAGTCGTGTTTGTTTTAGGTCGTGTCCAGACTTGCTCTGAGACAAAGGGGAATAAAGAGGGGCTGCACACCTCACAGCAGTCTCTCCAAACTCCAACCACTAAATGTTCTGCTCATTTTACCACAGAGTCACTCACATTAACTGAGTAACTGTAGTGGAGTGCACAAGTCCCAATACCCAAGATCAACATTTCTTATGAGGGTTAAACAGAGAACACTTTTTGACTGTTTTAACGCAGATGTATACACAAGTTTGGCCTTTCAAGTTT